TGCTTTCATAGCTGAACATGCTTATTCGTTCTATTTTAACTGTGCATTGAGCTATAAATAATATCTCATTGCAGATAAGAATCTATTGAATTTTATTACTTGTTTTTCTACCTTGGGAAGATTTTCTTCTGAAGGCAACTTTGCCAGCCCTAGCAGTGAAGTTGCCTGATTGACTCTGTCCTGCCAGGCAGCCAGGAATGGTGTCAATCCCAGGTCAGCTGCCACTTCCCTGCAGCCACCTCCTCATTGTTCCTGCTTGGGCTGTGGCAAAGATGAGACGAGTGCTCAGCGATGCAGAGCTGAGATCACTGAAGTGTCAGGGAAACTGATTAAACCAATGATTTCCTGTTCCTCTGATCAGCTGCAGGTTAATACCTCTGTGTTTGCTCCAGCCCACCTTCCCTGCAGTACGTTCACTTCAAAGAGCAATAACCTGGGTCAGTGTCCAGCCAAATTGTGTAGGTTGCTGCCTCCTTTTTCTGATGTTCATTGTAGCATTATCCTGCTTCCTCATGAGTTACTCCTCCCTTCTGCAATGGAGCCCTGACCTGACATCCTTGTTATCCAGAAACTTCTCAGAGCTGGAGCACAGCACGAGCTGGGGAGGTGAGGGATGGAGATGTGTCCCCAGAGCTGCTGCTGAGACCCTCGTCTGCAGAAGTGAGGAGACTTTGAAATCACTGAGAGCTAATAATGTCTTGAAATTTGGGTGGTTTAGCGTGTGGCTTTATTTTAACAATGATTTCAATCCACTCTTTCTGTTGTACATGTTAGTGGTCACCCCCTGTAAAAACATTCTGGGAGCTCTTTGTAGAACTTACCTGTGACCCTTTAGTAAAGGCTGCTGGAAAATTCTGAGAAGACTCTCCTGGGTCATAGAGAAATATTACCTTTTTTTATTAATAACAGCTATTTATAGGAGAATTATATAAGTACAACATAAATAGAATAATTCAAGTTGTAAGAGCTCTCCAGAGGTCTCTGGCTCAAACCCTGATCAAAGCAAGGCCAAAGTCAAAGGCAGGTCAGGGTGCCCCAGGCCTTTCTTTTTCAGTTGGGTTCTCAGTAGTGCTGAGGAAGGACAGGCATGGCCTCTCTGCTTTCTGTGCTTGATCATCCTCATGACAAGGAATAATTCCTCACATCCATTCAGAATCTAATCCCTTTGCCATACAGTTTAGAGAAGACTCTGGCTCTGCCTTATCCCTAACCCCATCAGGGAGCTGCAGACAGCAATATGATCCCAGTAGCCATCTATTCTCCAGGATTAAGAAGCCCAGCTCCTTCAGCTTTCCTGGAATGCCCTGTGCCCCTGTCCCTGGGCAGCCTGCCTGCCTCTGCTGGACTCATTCCCATGTGTCAACATCTGCCCTTGTAGTGGGGCCAAATTCATTCAGTTCATTGCATAAGTGACGTGAAACCATGTCAGCCTTCACCTGCAGGGTACAAAGTTCTGCTCACGGTCTTATTAGTGCAGGAAAACATCCACTGGCATTACCTGGATCAAGTTCTATTTAATAAGTTCATAAACACATGGATATGTTTTGATAGCGAGATGTTTTTAATCATATCAATGACTTTGTTTTCTTTATTGCTCAGTTCAAATGAGGCCTCCAAGCACTGGGTAAGAGGCAGAGCTTCCATTTGTGCAGTGCTGGTTTCTCCAGGCATGTGGCTCAGTGCAAACAGTTATTGGCCACACTGTGGCCAAAAGAAAGCCAGAGATGAAAACTGTAGCCTGAATTGTGTTTAGCAGGCATTTTGGAGTGATTAGAGGCATTTTCATGAAAGAGCTGCAACTAATCGGTATTTCCCAGTTTTACAGCAGTTATTTGTTAATTAAATAATGTGACAAACCCCAGGAGTGTTTAGAAATTAAATGATGTATTAAATGATTTGCCATTTATTTATCAATGTGTTATTTATGCTGAGGAGCTGCATATCTGCTAAGAAAATTCTTCAACCTCAATTTTGATTCTTTCAGAGAATATGAAATCAATACTGAAAAAAAAAAAAGTAATGGGAAATGTAAAACAAAATTACATGAGTAAATCAGAGAGGGTGTTGTATAATGGCCAAATCCTGCCCTGGTGTCAGCACACAGAGCTTGTGGTGCTCAGGACCATAACAGGCAGCACCCTGAGGTGTGGCACTGCCTTTGCTTACCTGCAGATTACAGAATCATAGAATTTTTTGGGTTGGAAGAGACCTTAAAGATAATTTTGGTCCAACCCCTCTGCCATAAGCAGGGACATCTTCCACTGTCCCAGGCTGCTCCAATCCCTGCCCAACCTGTCCTTGGACACTTCCAAGGATGGGGCAGCCACAGCTTCCCTGGGCACCCTGTGCCAGGGCCTGCCACGAAGGAATTTCTCCTTAATACTTAATCTAAACCTACCCACTTTCTGCTTAAAGCCTTTCCATTTGTCCCATCACTTCATGCTCTTGTCCAAAGTCCATCTCCAGCCCTCTTGCAGGATCTCTGCCCTCGTGCTGGCTGCTGCACACAGAGGATTTTCCTTTAGCCAAATGGTCATTAGCCATATGCTGCATCTGACTTTGAGGATTAGAAGACCATAATGAAGTGGATTACAGCAGATCAGTGGCAGGATTGCAGACCAAATCCTCTTTCTGACTGTTCTTCCAGGAGTAGCTAAGGCCTGAGTGACCTGTCCTGCAGCATGAGCTTAGCCAGCTGTGGGATTTTTCCACACTGTTATCAGAGGCAGGATAATCTGGAGCTGTAGCCCTGGGTGGGGAGGCTGTGGATGATGAATGCCTGCAGGCTGTGCAGGTGCCTGAAAGCTGGGGATTTCTGGGTGTCACTTTTGTGGCTTGCCTAGGGGGTACCTGAGGGGCTCAGGTGTTCCCCAGTCACCATCTAATTGTTGAGTCTCCCTGAAGTAGGAGAGAGAGAGAGAGAAAGAAAGGATCTGCTGGACATCCAACAGGCATTGTGGTGGTCAGAGAAAATCTGAGTTGCCTGGGCCAGTGCCAGACCTGGTGCTGGACCCAGGAGCTGAAGTGGAAATTTTTTTTTGTGGTGTAACATGTGCCACACTTTGGCAGGAAAATGCTCTCCACTCATCAGGAGAGGTTGATCTTGCCCAAAGGACAGCAATGTCCAGGGTTGGGGCTGTGAAGGCTGGTGAGGATGGTTTGGAGAGGTCTTGGCTGGAGGAGGCAGTGGCAAAGTCCATATTTAACCCAGAATGATGTAGCCCCTCCAACTCTGCAGAGCCTGCACAGGTAAAAGCAGCAACTGTGACACATAGGGAGCAGCTTCAGTAACTCCTGCACATGCTCAGGGAAAAGTGTTTGGCTTCCAGAGATGCTGTTCACAAGACACATCAGGGCAATATATCCTGAAGATGTGCCAAATCTGTCTGAAATATTCATGCATGCTCCCTGTAATTTATAGAAACAATCACAGCAGCATAATTATTTCGATGCTTCTCCCTGTGAAGAATCTCATCTCCTGGATGTGACCTGCATATCCACACAGCCATGCTGTGGCCTTCTGGGTGTGCCAGGAGAGGTGATTCCATGCACTATCCAATATATCCATATATATATATGGATATATATATATATCCACATATGTGTATATATATATCTCCATGTATGTGTGTGTGTGTAGATATATATATATATATATATCAAAATATACCCTTTAGGCTACTGTGGTGGATCAGACAACACCACATTTGCTTGGGGTGACTTTCAATGATTTCAGGTGAATTTCATTTGTCTTATGGGTGGTACCTGGCTCGTTAAAGGCAGCACCTGTAAAGCACCTTTTGCTCTGCACCTCCCATAGTTCTGAAGTCTACCCCAAGCACAATGCTTAGCTCCAACGACCCCTCCCCAAAAAACTCCAAGTACCCTTGCCATTCTGAACCTGTGGAAGGGATGAGGAACAGGTTACAGGCAGAACCCACTCCTGCAAAATTACAGCTACTAAAACAGCAGAGGTGCAGACCTGCTCTGAGGCAGGAGCAATTTGGAGATGACACAAAGGCTGGTGGTTTGAGACAGACAGGGAAATGGGGACAGATTCTATATTTTAAGCATCATTTTCTAAAATATCTGCAAGAGGAAAGGACCTACTATACTTTCAGGTGTAGCTGGTGGAATGTAAATAGGTTCCCAAACCTTCAGTGCCTTTTGTTCTTCAGATGGCTTGGCAGAACACTCTGAATCCGTGTGTCTAACTGGGACTGGGTCTGTAAATAAGTGCTCCCTGTTGCTAAGGTTCAAGTGACATTTTTAGTGGCATTTGACAGATTTTTAACTTACTTTCAAGTCTTCCACTGAGCTCTTCTATACCCAGGCAGTGAAACTGTCATGAAGCCTTTAGCTTTACTCAAACTGGTGCTAAATGCCTTTGGATTCACAGGTTGGACACAGTCCTGCCAGACTTGCCTGACGAAGCTTAACTGGTGCTGCTGATGGCAAAGCCACACCTGACCTGTGTTTGTACCTAGAGGTGATTATCTGGGAATCTGGGGAAAAAAACCCACACAAAACCAGAAAGGAAAGCAGAGACTCAGCCTGGTCTGCAGGCAGGGTTGTACTGCATCCTGCCTAAGCTGCTTCCCTGATGGCAAATGTTGCTCTGCAAGAGACAAATCAGTGTGGCCTGGTCTTTACTCCCCTCAGTATCTTGTGCTCCTCACATTTCCACTAGAATCCCAAAGAGGTTTTTTTTTGTCCAAAAGGCTGTTTGTTTTCTTTTGACCACTCAGAGCTTGTGATACTTGTCTTGATCTATTAACCAGGTGTCCAGCCAAAATCAATTGCCTAGCAGACGCAGAGAAGTCAAGACCTCCATAAATATTACCGGCCTCATTGTGCTGGTGACAGATTCTGCAGGTTGTTTTATGTTACAGTTGAACAGTTTAGACATTGCATTTGTATATATTTGCAGGCAGCCCTGGAGGGACCATCTCGTGGGCAGAGTGGCAGCAGGCAGCCTGCAGACTCCAGACACCTCCACCATGACCACGGCAGGGCTCTTGGTGCTCCTCTCCTTCGCGCTGTGCTGCGTCCCAGGTGAGTGGCTCTCCAGATGGCTGAGTCCTGGCTGTCTTCAAAAGGATCAGGCAGAGGATTCAAAGAGAGGAAATCTCCTTCAGAGGGCTCTGCTGCCTCGGTTGGCGTCGTGCAGGTTTGCAGGATTGTATTTCAGGACAGTCCTCAGTGGCTCGCTGCTGTAGCTGATGGTTTGTCATAAATATAAGTAACAGCAAGTGGAGTTCTGTGCTGGCAACTCGTGCTGTTACACTTTGTACACTGATCTTCTCACACCATTACACTGCTTAGCCTTGTACAATTACAGCAAAATGGATGAATACTTGAAATAAGGCCATGAGAAGGGGGTCAGACCCCCAGTAACTAGTAAGGCAAATATTGTAATGGCACAAGCAAGTTCTCTGCAAGACCCTGGCAAATTTCCTGCAATGCTCTTTCTGCTAATGGAACAGCAAGAGATGAATACTAGCCAGACTCTGATGTTCTCACTGCATATTCACCCCTGATGAAATTACAAAGCCAAAGACATTTTTTTCACACTCACCTTCTTTCAAATGCATATTTCTGTCAACAGATGCTGTATGTATTTGCTTATCCTGTAGGTGACTATTTGCATTTGTCTCTGTTGATTCAGGTGTATTTTCAGATACACAACAGCAGTGCTTTAGGGTCAAAACGGATATGTAAAAAGATAAGGAAGGAAAAGCTCTTCTGTTTTCAATTAATAAATCTACATGTCTCAGAACAAAAAAAGAACAAAGCTATTCAAAAAGCTGTTTCATCATAGCCAGCAATAAGCAATGCTATTATGCTTATCAACATAGAGAAAAAAAATTCATACATAGTTTATTTAGTTCAAAAAACAATCACTGGAAATCATTCACCTTGGTCCTGCACACAGGAATTTTATATCCATATTTCCAGCTTTAATTGAGGTCTTATCATATTGGCTTTTGTTCATACTTTCTGCCTCTCTTTTCTTTTCCAGATACTACCTTTGGGATTGAGGTAAGTGGAAGATTTCTTTCTGTCACCTTTCTCAAGTATGTGGTCTGATAAAGACATAACCAAAGGAATGGGGAAAACCTCCAGCCTGTGGGTGCTCAGCTGTTTTTCACCTAAGTGTCACACTCGGGTCACTGTAATCAGATTCTACAGCGTAGAACATTAAATTATACTGCCCTTGGCTCTATATCCATGCTGTATGTTAATAATGTTTTAGTGGTAATGATACAATGTTTTTGGATTAATTAATTTTTCAGCAACTTTAGACTGGTCTAAGCTTTAAGCTGGAAATATATAACTGGTTCTAAACTGAAGCAGTACAGTGGTATCAGAACCTACCTGAGGGCAACCTACTGAAAGACTAAAATACTCTGAGCAGATCCAGCTTCCTCACAGATCATTTGTCTTGGTCCTCTGAAAAAAACATGATCAGTGTATTGAGAATGAAAAAGTAAAACCAGAAGTGCAGTGGAGGGACCACAAGAATTTAAGAACTAGGGACCAATGGAGAGCCTTTATAAAATCATGTCAAGTAAGCATAAGAGACCAGCACTGGTTTATCCCATCCAAGGGGCTACATGGTTATAGCTCTTCCCTCCTCCTCCTCCTCTTCTCCTGCCCTGTGGGAACATCTCTGCAGGAAGAATTCTCCTGAAGGCCCCAGAGCAGAAGTTTGTGCTGCGGCGGTGAGGACTGGTTGTACCACACAAAATGAGAGTCGTGAACGCCTCAGGTCCTCTCAGCCTGTTGCTGTGATTCCTCTGGCAGGTGGACTGCAGCACATATCCCAACACCACGAACGAGGAGGGCAAGGAGGTGCTGGTCTGCAGCGAGGCCGTCAGCCCCATCTGCGGCTCCGACGGCGTCACCTACGGCAACGAGTGCCTGCTCTGTGCCTACAACGCGTACGTTCTGCGTGGGGACAGCGTGGGGACAGCGTGGGGACCCCAGGCAGCACAGCTCAGAGCTCCTGGCAGCACCACAGCTCACCAGTCGCTGCTCTGTCACACGTCACCTGTGTCAATTCCTTCGAAATGAGCTTGGCTATCACGGCACAGCGCTCGGGCAGAGCTTTAGTCACTGCGTCTGTCTTTTGTTTCTGTAATTTATTCAGGTTTTTTCTTCTCTGTCTCAAGGAGTGGCCAGGTGATGGCTCTGAGAGCACATCTCATCACAGCAAAAGGATTGAGATGCTCTGCTCAGAGCTGCCCAAAATGGTCCTAAAGCTTCCCAGGGTTTTACATCCCTGCCAGCTACTCAGCTGATGAGGGAGGGTGGCTCTACCTTTTCAAATACAGATATAAAAGAAGCCTGACTGAGAAAGAGTCAATTTTCCCTTGCATTAACTCTACACCTAGGATGTAGCAAGACATCTCTGCTGAACTTCCTAACATTTCTCTCTCCCTCTGCAGAGAATATGGAACCAATGTCAGCAAAGACCACGACGGAGAGTGCAAGGAAGTTGCCCCTGTAAGTTAAACCAAGGGCAAAACAGGGGGTGTATCCTGCTTCTGAGTGGCCAAAGGTGCTTATGGAAATAATTCAAACCCTAAACAAGAACACAGATGAGCTGCCAGAGTCTTGCACTGGTCACCTCCAAGTGAACTGTCATCATGGTGACTGACAGAAAAGCTTTTCTCCTGCTGTGGTGCATGGCCAGGCAGACACACTCACCAGATCCACTGGTGTGCTGTAAGCAAGGCCTTCACCAGGGCTTTGTTTGTTCCCTCACCAGGTGGATTGCAGCAAGTACCCCAACTCAACCACTGAGGATGGCAAAGTGGTGCTGCTGTGCCACAAAGACCTCAACCCCGTCTGCGGGACCGACTGGGTCACCTACAACAACGAGTGCCTGCTCTGCTCCAGGAGCCTGTGAGTGCTGAGCACGGGGACCTGGGGCTGGTGCTCCTGGGACTGCTCTTTTGGATAGCAGGACTTCTACCAAGGCCTTTCCTGTGAGGTGCTTGGACTTCGACCCTCCTCTTGTCCTCCTGACTGAACCTTGCTTTCCTCTGTCATTAGAAGGAAAACTGTGCCTTGGGTCTAGACAGAAAAGTAGAGGGCTGGCTGGGGATCTCACACAGGACAGGATGCTTCTCTTAACTCAGTTAAAAGGGTCTGTGTGGCAGATGCTGCCTTGCAGAGGACAACAACTCAGCTGTGCCTTGGGTCTAGACGGAAAAGTGTGTGAGATCCCCTGGCTGGGGATCTCACACAGGACAGGATGCTTCTCTTAACTCAGTTAAAAGGGTCTGTGTGGCAGATGCTGCCTTGCAGAGGACAACAACTCACCCAGGGGGCATTGACATTGTCACACAGCCTGTCTCTGCATCCATCCTGACCCCTGTCCCTCACATCCTGCTATAAACCAGCTCTCTGGCAGGCAGTGACACCACCTGAGCTGGTCCCTGGAGCCACATGGACCTAAGCTGGGTGCCTCCTGTATCCCATACTTTGTGCCTGGGGCTGATCAGCATTCCTGGGTGATGGATTCAGCAGAACAGGTTGCTTGTAGAGCTCCCTAACACAGGTCTCTTCCCTTCCCAGGGAGGCTGGAGCCAGTGTTGGCAAGAAGTCTGATGGTGCATGTAAGAAGGAAATTGTCACAGTAAGTGAATTGGGTGATCAGGGGCTGGGTTTTGGTCCTGCTGCTGTTAGGGGAAGCACTGCCAGTGTCTGCAGCAGCCCCCAGACCAGCAGTGTCCTGCAGAAGTGAAACAGCTGCTGTGCTGCAGAAGGGGAGAGATTTTGCTTTCTCTACACGTAATAAATGTTGTTTGTGTGAATGCCAGGAAAGGAGCAGGTGACTGCTCAGGAAGGGATGAGTAAAGAGTAGTAGAATGAATCCATCAGGGCAGAACTGTGAATAAGAACAGAGAATGGATTTTGGGGTCAGCCCAATGGTCCATCTAGCCCCTGGCGACTTGGTGCAGAGCCTGCTGCTGGCAGGGGCTGTGAGCATTGTGTAGGAGAGAGTGAGAGTGCAGAATGTAGAGAAGAGTGACCTCTACCCTTCCAAGCTCCAGCTGTTTTCAGAAGGGCTAGCTCAGCTAGCTGTGATTTCTGTGCAGTCACTGAGCCTTGAGAGATTTGTCCTCCATGAAATTCCTCAGCCTCTTCCTGACCCAGACACATTTTTAGCCCTACAATGCTCCTCACAAGTGTAGCACCCATTGCTCCAGGAAACAGAATCCCACTCTTGCAGTACCCAGCTACGTGTTGATCTTCCAGTTTTAAGACTCCAGGAGGGATAGTGGACCTTTACAGAGGATCAGCACTCCATTTCTCCAGACTCCAGTGTTTTTCCGTTTAATTTCCTGGCCAGCTTGGGAACACAGAGCACGGCACCTTCACCCAGTGAACTGCTGCTGCTTGGAAATGCCATGGCCAGGTTATGATATACATCTCTTCAAACAGGAAATTACGATCCATTTTTATATTATTAAATTCTCCTGGCATGGGAGAAACTGACACCTCAGTTTATATCAGATGTGCAAGGAAGTTAATTACTTTTGGTAAGATTGGTATCACTAGCACAGCAGCTCTAGCTCAGGGTTCAAACCCTTGTGCTACTGACTCCTCCACGTCAGACTCTTTTATTTTTATTTATTTTTTACAGGTTGACTGCAGTGACTACCCCAAACCTGTCTGCTCACTTGACTACATGCCTCTCTGTGGCTCTGACAACACAACATACAACAATAAGTGTATCTTCTGCAACGCAGTCGTGTATGTAAAATATCAGTGATGTTTCTGTTATCAGTTGCCTCCTGTGGGCAAGAGTTTGCACAGTTACTGCTTTTTTGTTTGCTGGATACTGTTGATTAGGGATTTGGGGCAGGAGGGAATGCCAGCCACCGTGTCAAGCATTCATTTATTTTTTTCATTAGAGCATAAAAAAAGCTACGGCTGCTTTGTTAGTGTGAATGGCTTGAAGAGCATTTAACCTAAATGGAATTTTTCTTGCATGTTGCAAAGGAAATGAAATTCCTTTCCTTTTAAAATTCCACTACAGTTTCCCCACAGATATTTTCAGTCTTAAGAATGAGTTAAATTGTTTCGCTCATGTCTTAATAATCAAATAGCAAATGGGATTATGAGTCTGCAAGTTCCTTGGCTCTGGGGCAGGATCCCATTTGACACCATCTCTAGGAGCCGTCAAAAAGACAGATCATAGCAGGCAGGACTCTGTTTAATTCATTCTTTCCTTTCCTTGCTTTCAGGGACAGCAATGGGACTATCACTTTAAGCCATTTTGGAAAATGCTGAGTATCAGTGCCAAGGGAATTCACCCCAAGATCCCCACTGGAAAAACCCAGATAAAGATCTCACCTCAGTTCATCTCACCCTCTGGGGAACCCAGCTCACTCCTGATTTTCTTTCTCAATAAACTAAATCAGCAACATTTCCCTGTCTCCTTTCATGTGTTGTCTCATGAAACATGGTCTTGATTTGCTGGATGATGATACTGGGCAGAATCATTACGTGCTCAAAGCTCTGGGATAGAACAAGAGCATAATCTTACTCCCCTCCTTCTCCTAAAAGGCAGAAAATTAAATACAGATGTTCCAACCCCAGAGCTGTGTGTCTTTGCACATAAATGACAATGATGTCCCTGCATTAGTGCTCAGATTAATTGACCCTTGAATGTTTGACATTGGCCAGGGCTGAAGTGGTGACACAGGAGGGTCTCTCCAAAGGTGCTCCTGGTGCATTTTCCTGGCCAGCAAAGCCCAGTCACACCTTGGTGTCCCTGCCCAGAGCTGATCCCTGGCTCTGTCCTCACCTGAAGTGCTGCTCTCCCAAGGTCACTCTCTTGGCAAAGCCCATGTTGCTCAGACACGTGCATTGTCTCTATTTGCCTGAGTCCTCCAACTGACTTATTCCCAGATTTTTCCTCATCTTGGAGTCGTCCTTTAACACCCTCCAAGTGTTTTGAGATTAATGCCTTCCTAGGTGTGGTGCCTACTCCTGCCTACTTGTCTTCTCTCACTCTTCAATTACACAATGCTCCTTGCCAGCCCAAGGAGTATTTCAGCAGTGTTTCAAAATCCAAGGACAAAGTATCCTTCTGTTTCTTGAGAGTGTGACCTGTCATTGGTGTATTGTGCATGAAATTTATTTTGCTTTTGTCTTCTGTTTGAGTATTGAATTGGGTTTTGGTTTTTGGGGGTTTTTTTTGGATCCACACAAGAGAGGCATAAATAAATTGGGCTTATCCCTTCTAAAATGTAATATCTCCCACAGGCATTTCTTCTGGGAATCAAAGGGAGAGGGATGCTTGTTCTCCTTGATGGAGGTTGTCCCAAAAAGCAATGCTTTAGTGGTAAAACAAAGGATTTATGTAGAGATGGGCAGATGGATGAAGCAGTGATTTCCAGATTGGGTTCAGCTTTTCTAGGATCCATGCTAGGGCCTCAAATCATTCTGTCATCATCATACTAAAAGTCTATTACTGCAAAGCTAATGGCTTTTAGGGAAAATAACAATTTTAAATTTTTTTTTGCATAGTCCCATAAAAGTTTCTCCATCCCTTGTAATTTCCCAGGACTCCTTTCAGTGTCTGGGATGCCCTCTTGCTTGCTTTCCTGGTTCATTGTTTTCCTGCTTTCACTATAACTTAGTGATGTTTTACTTGGGTGAAGCACAAAAATAAAGGAGAGCCTTTCTGCTACGGAAGCATTTCATTCAATGTTTTTCTCATGAAAAAGCACGGCACAAAAATAAGCAGTGATAGGTGAACACAGAGAAAATCTGACAGCAGTTTGAACAGTGGCTCTTTTGCCTGCAGGAATTTTCTGTGGTCCTTCAAAAGGAAACTGTCACATATTTCTCTTAAAATAAGGACTCAGAGGGTGTATCTCACACATCTAAACTTCTCGTGACTCCCGTTGATGAAGAAACACCATTCTTGGCTTACAGCACAGCTTACCTCTACTGATATTACCACTGAGACAAAGGGCTGGAAATGTTGCTCCAGGATAAGGGTGGATAAGGCAAATATGAACATGCACAAACACACACGCCCCCCCAGTGGTGCAGGCACACATATAAGCGTGGTTGCCACCTGAGGACAGAATCCAGGTTGTGTTTCCTGAGCAAAAGCCAAGCTCTGCTGCTCACAGCCCATCCAGCCACCATGAAGATCACAGGCGTGCTGCTCCTGCTCTCTCTGGCCCTTTTCTGCATCTCAGGTGAGTGGCTCCACTGCCTCCTGCTCTCTGCCTTGGAGTAAGCACTGGCTGTCTTCAAAACCACAAAAAAACACCCTCAGACTGGAAAGAGCTCCATTCTGCAAGGACTTATTTACTCCTAGAAAGATAGTGTTGAAAAGACTTGACATCAGAGACTATCACTTATGGGGTAATATTTTAGCAACAGAACTGAGTGGGTAAGAACAACTGTGGGAACAGCTCTACTCTCAGTGCTAGTTTATGCATAATGAAAGAAGTGACATGTACGTGGTGCAACCCGGAGACTCAGACAACCAGTATTTAACCTCTGAAATGTTGCAGAAACACAAATAATTTTACTGAATGGAAGTGAACATTTCTTGTAGTCATCCTGAACCGAGGTGTAGTTTGAGAGCCTGAGCTGCTGTAGAAGCTTTATAAATTCACCTCTCACTAAATACTATTCTTATTTTAAAATAATATTGGCAATGCATATAAGATGCTGCCTCTGTGTACTTGCCAGCTTTATGTCCCTGTTTACCTCAATAACTTGCTTCTCTTTGAGTTCATATCCTGTTCTGTCCTTCGAACCATAGGAAATGCCTTTCTCTTCTTTTATTTTACACAGCTTTTTCCATTTTGACAGTAACCCTCATTAAAAAAATACTACAGAATCAACATACAGTATGGCACAACATTTTGCCTGAAATTCCTTTTGTCTAAGAACAATTTGCTAGCACACAGGGAGTTGGAAGATATGTATTCAGAGCATGCATTCTTAGATTTTAACAGAATCCATGAATTGCATTTGTAACATATTTCATTTGTTCTTTTTTTTTTTTAGTTCCAGCTACTGATGCGCTGCAGGTAAGGGACAGATTTTTCTATTCTCCATCCTTTCTTTCCTTAAAGCAGTTTCTGTATAAATCTTTACTAATCACATCATGATGGAGCCTTTCAAAATCCTGAGACACCCAGCTGCCTGAGCAATATTTGCCACAGATATTATCAGGTGAAATTGCCATTTTCATCTGGTGGTAGTTTCAGCAAGTAGGGCAGTATTCAGTTCATGTCCAGGTTGTTGTCAGAGTTACTGCAGCATCATTCGCAGTGGTTGCCCAGGCTCTGCATGGTTGGAGGCAGCACTCCACTGCAATCCTGCCCTGTCCCTGGGCTTTTCCTCAGCATCTGCTCCTGGCCAGCTCAGGGAGTGTGTGGGGCCTCCTAATGTCACCTTTCTCACCCAGCTTTGGTTGAGAGCTCTTTTTTTTTTTTTATTTTTTGTGGATACAGGCTGCATCCACCTACTGCAAGAACCAGAGGACTTTCAGGGATATGTGTTCCATGGAGTATGTCCCCCACTGTGGGTCTGATGGTGTCACCTACCCCAACAAATGCACGTTCTGCAATGCGTTCCTGTACGTATGGAATAAATCTCTTCACCTTCTAAGTGGTGAATTAACTTAGCTTAAACTGGCTAATCAGTCTTGGACACTGGTTGGAGAAGTTCCTTTATTTCATTTGTTTGTTCTCTCACCTCCAAGGGTAATTTTTATTTTTTTGTTGGGAGAGTTTGCTAGGAAGTCCTTTCTTTCAGCTATAAAGAGGCAATATAGTGTTCTCCATTTTCCTCTTAAGTGATTTGCAAAAGAGCTTTCTCTCAGCAGACAAAGTCTGTTTCCTACAGACTATTTGGTCTTTTAAATTAAGAACTTTTCTTGTCTTTATATGTCAATAATAAAAATAAATATGTGGAATAGGGTTCAGAAGTCCCTCTGTGGTGCAGAAGGACAGACCAACAGTAAAAGCCCAGATGTTCTCTGATTTCTTACTCTGATTTCTTTCTGATTTCTTTCTCTGCAGGAAAAGCCGTGGAAATCTTGCCTTGAGGTCTCTTAATGCCTGTTAAGTTCTCAACAGGATTCAGCTGAGAAAAAGCATCCCTCCCTGACAATGTTCCCCATGGCAGATGACTTCCTAAACCCCTGACCCTTGAAAACCTCTTATCAACCCTGAAACCTCTGATAATAAAAAAAAGACCCAGCATTTATGTTGTCATTTAGTCTCATTCTGGCTTTACCTAACATGTTCCATGATTATACCACTGCAACAACCCTGGGGTGTGGGAATTAATGGGCAAATTGCAGGGGACAGGGAGAATGGTGTTCTGATCTACAAAAATATCCAAGGCAATGGGCAGCTTTTTGGGCATCTGCCTTCATCTGGCTTTCCAAAAGAAAACCCAGGCTGGAGGTGCATCCTGGTCCATTTACTGCTCTTGGGGGATCTGACAGACACTCTCTGCCTGGCTGAGAGGAGCTGCCTCCCTCCCCAGCTGCTGCTGTCAAATTCCTGCAGCCTCACCCAGCCTCACTCTTTGTAGCCTGGCAGCACCAAGAGGCCCCGGGCAAACCTAAACATTAACATAATTAGAGACAGTCCCAAGACTTGTAATTGGGGTGTTCTGACACTCTTCTGCCACACAGAAGGGGTCTTGCTGGCACAATGAGCTGCTCGTCCCTGTTTCAGTTTCCAGGGTTATGCCAAATTTCCCTGCAAGGGAATATGTGAGGAAGGTCACGAGCAGGATTGAAAACCCACCTCTAGCTGAGAGAAGGCCTTTTGCAACCTGCTTTGCTCCCCAGAGCAATGTCACAGGGTGTTTTCTCTGAGCTGCCCACGTTGGTTCGTTGCTGAGGGGCATTGCAGAAAACCCGTGGGCAGCCAGTGCCAGCAGAGCTGATGTCCAGGGGATGCTGGCAACCACTGAGCCCGTCTGGGCACCTCACCCATCACTTAGCTGCTGGTTGAAGGTAATTACCTTGACTGTCGCTTCTAGAGGATCCTTTGAGATCCTCCGGCCTCTGGAAGCCTGGGCTGATGAAAGGAAGGGCTCAGAGTCATGGTGTTAATTTATTATTCATTAACAGCCAGGCGCTGCCAGCGCCGCGTGCTGCAGAGGCAGCAGTCTCACAGTCAAATAGTTAATGATCTTAAGTGACAATGTGTCACTTCCCAGAGACTGCAGAGAGCAGCTCTCTAAAAGGAGACAATTTATTTCCAAAAGACATGGCTCTCTGCAACCATTTAGTGCCA